TCAAGATTTTCGTTCTTGAAAATTAAGGAATGAAAATTATAACATACGAGGTTGACCTGCAGTCATCAATATGAATGTGTGTGGCAATTAATAAGGTCAATCACGCATTCATCTGCCAGCCATAATGCACACAGGCAAAGACTGGTAGCTAGCTTTGACCTCCATCACAATTTAATTTTTCCAAACTAACCAAACCAAACAAGAGATAGAAATACAACTATTCTTCGATCTAAATTAGCTACCATGTATATTGCCAAAGACCTTGTGGTCAAGCGGCATAACTGTGACTCTCTCAAATGGAATGTCACATATTTAAACCCTAGTGAGGGCAGTGATTCTTTGTGCTTCAATAGATTTAAAAGTATGTATGTACAGATATTACATTGTAACAAAGTCAATAGTACTAAAAAAAAAAAAAAAATAGCTAGCATGTGTAGATAAACCCACGTGGACTGTCATGGGCCTAGTCCATATGAGCGAGTTCAGGCACAGTCCATGTACTACTGTGCATGTGTCTGAGTTGGGCAATTTATATCTTGCACCACGGCGCGCGTTGCATTGTGCGCCCAGATGCAAAACGACGTCGTTTCAATTTTTATTTTTTATTTTTTTTTGAAATTTCCCGCCCCAGTGTTTGGCAGTTAATTTTTCTTTAAAAAAAAAAATCCATGTTAAAAAATGTACATAATGTTATACTAGAATACACATAATTGTATACATGAATGTACATAATTATATAACAAAATATACATACTCTTTTTTAAAAGATAATACACATAATCTAACATAAACTTTTAACATAATACACATCAACTCTTAACATAATACACAAAAATTTCCTGATTCGGATGTACATAATTGTATAAAAAGAATGTACATAATTGTATAAAAAATGTACATAATTGTATGAACAAATATACATAATTGTATGAACAAATATACATAATCACAGCAACTTCCTACCGCGTCTCCTAAAACGACATCGTTTTGGGAGGCGCGCGGCGCACAATGCTACGCGCACCATGGTGTAGGGTATAACGATTGGTCTGAGTTGGCACGACGTGATCCTATATATAGGGTTACGTAAATGTACCTGACCCAATCGACATTATATTATTTTATCTCTTTTAAAAATTTAAGTTTGTGGGTTAAGAATGTAGTAATTTAAATCACTTTTACATGTAAGGTAAATTCATTCAAGATATTTTATAAAGAATATCACACATAAATTACAAGAATCGTTATGTAATATATAGTTTAATTTTGTTCATTGTAACTTGCATTGCACTAATTTTAATTCAAAATTGTAAGTTTTTTTAGTTTATAAATTTTAATTTTATAAATGTATAAAAACTCTACAATTTAACAATTGTACAAAAATGTAATAAAATCAATAATTATAATTCAAAAATTATTGGGAGTCTTGAATTGACCAACCCCACTAATTTTTAATGGAAAATTAAAGTATTCAATCAAATATTGTTATATTAGTGAAGAAAATTTTGGAGGGATGATTTTCATTACTCTGCCAATGAAAAACTTAATTAACCTTTTGGAGGGAAAAAAGTTGTTTAGATTTACCAAATACCAAACAAATTTTCTTAATATTTCAATAATTATTAAAAGAAAATCTTCCAACAATTAATGTTTTTAAAAGATACTCACCAAACACTACATCTTTACGTCATCAGAAAATTTAATGTTGAAGGATTGTGTCTCTCTCTCCCTCCACAAACACGTTGTCCAGGTTCCATTAAGGGATTTTAGGTTTTGTATATATTTCAATTTCATTTTTGTAAATATTAAAAATAAAAACTAAACTGATATTTTGTTTCATTTTCGATAGATTTAGTAATCTATACGAATTACATTGCATATATTATGTTTAATATTTTGTTGGATTTAGCATAAAATTTATGTAACACAAATTAAGAAATTGGAAAACAATGATTTTTTTCATAAATGAAATGTTTCTGAAACGGAAAAAAGTAGGTTAAAATTATTGCAGACGTTAAAGTGGGAAGTTAAGAGTGTGTTTGGTTCATGGGGTTAGATAAATGGAATGAAATTCATACACATTATTGTTTGTTGACAATGAACCCACATATGCAACCTATTACATCAAATGCGTCCACTGATGTTCGAACTTATCATCACCTCCCACATAAGAAAGCAACATGGTACTATTTGACCAGAAAGTCCTTGGTAAAATATGGGTATTTGAATACCCTATATATAATTACAAAATTCATTATCTAATTTAAATCAAGTATCATTCCTTTAATTCAGCCTTATCTCTGCTCATTTAATCGCCTCGTCATCCCGTCGCCTCCCTCATCGCTTCATTGACTCCGATCCCTCACTACATTGCCTACTCACTTCATCACCACTCATAATATTGATTGCCTTAATTTTTTGTTTTGGTATTTTTAAAACCTTTATTATGATTATTATAGGGTTTAAATAACCAAATATCAATATTGGTAATCATTCTAATTCCACCCTAACTACTATCAAACACTCAAAATACTTTTCACCAAAATTCAGTCCAATTACCAAGTATTTGGTTCCCATTCTGATTTAGATTCCCGAACCAATTCAAACAGACTAAATGTATATGAGTATGTTTTAAGCAAGTTGAAACACATTTGATCCATATATAACTGCTTAATCGATATATAACTGATTAAAACGAGTGAAGTATGGTTCAAATGAGTATTTCCCTCCAACAACAACAACAACAATAAGCATACATACATATTATTACACCACTGACAAATTTTGGAGGGGTGATTTTCATTACTCGTGCCAAAGAAAAGCTTAATTAACCTTTTGGAGGGAAAACTTGTTTAGATTTACCAAATACCAAATTAATTTTCTTAATATTTCAATAATTATTAAAAGAAAATCTTCCAAACAATTAATGTTTTTAAAAGATACTCACCAAACACTACATCTTTACCTCATCAGAAAATTTAATGTTGAAGGATTGCGTCTCTCTCTCCCTCCACAAACACGTTGTCCAGGTTCCATTAAGGGATTTTAGGTTTTGTATATATTTCAATTTCATTTTTGTAAATATTAAAAATAAAAACTAAACTGATATTTTTGTTTCATTTTCGATCGATTTAGTAATCTATACGAATTACATTGCATATATTATGTTTAATATTTTGTTGGATTTAGCATAAAAATTAGGTAACACAAATTAAGAAATTGGAAAACAATGATTTTTTTTATAAATGAAATGTTTCTGAAACGGAAAAAGGTTAATCTCATGGAATTTGCGTGGAACAAAGGTTAAAAGAGTAAATATCAATTTTGGTCCCACGAGTAGTAGCAAAATGACGAGTTTGGTCCACATGTTTAATTCCTACCAATTTTATCCACGACTATTGTTTTAGTACCAATTTTAATCCACGATTATTATTTTAGTATCAAAATTCATCACGTCGGTCACCCATCTATTTAAGACATCCCGAAATCTAAAAATTTTAAGGGTATTTTCATCCTTTTGAACTTAAGATTTCAATTTGAGCATAAATAAATGAATTTAAGCGGCCATGAGATCAATCCCAATTCCCAATTCTCCTCCTCATTCTACCTTAATTTGAGGAAGAAAGCTGCGAATTGGGATAGATCTTAGGGCTTAAATATCTTTATTCATGCTCAAATAGGGATCATAATTTGAAAAGCACGAAACTACCCTTAATAATTTTATATTTCGGCATGTCTTAAATGAAGGGGTGACTGGCGTGATGAATTTTGGCACTAAAACTATAGTTGTGGGTGATAATTGGTACTAAAATAATAGTTGTGAATAAAAATTGGTAGAAATTAAACATGTGAATGAGTGAATCAAAACTGTCATTTTGTTAATACTCGTGGGACCAAAATTGATATTTGCTCTATGTTAAAATTATTACAGACTTTGAAGTGGAAAGTTAAAGGTGTGTTTGGTTCATGGGGTTAGACACAAGAAATAGAATGAAATTCATACACATTATTGTTTGTTGACAACTTTTTAAAACACAGGTATTTTTTGAAAACACAAAGAACCAATAACGCCTACACTGAGGCTCGAATTCATAATCTTCCAAATGGAAGTCCAACCCAGATACCATTAGACTACATAGTCCTAGTAATACATAGGTATTTGATTACCCCTATAATTACAAAACTCATTATCTAATTTAAATCAGGTGTCATTCATTTAATTCAGCCTTATCCCTGCTCATTTAATCGCCTCCTCATCATGTCGCTTCCTCATCACTTCATTGACTCCTATCCGGCTATCCCTCACCACATTGCCTACTCACTTCATCGCCACTCATAATATTGATTGCCTTCATTTTTTGTTTTGGTATTTTTAAGACCTTTATTATGATTAAAGGGTCGTAAATAACTAAATATCAATATTGGTAATCATTCTAATTCCACCCTAACTACTACCAAACATTCAAAATACTTTTCACCAAAATTCAGTAGTCCAATTGCCAAGTATTTGGTTCCCATTCTGATTTAGATTCCCACGTTAGAACCAAACACACACTAAATATGTATATGAGAGTATGTTCTAAGCAAGTTGAAACACATTTGATCCATAACTGCTTAATCAATATATAACTGATTAAAATGAGTGAAGTATGGTTCAAAGGAGTATTTCCCTCCAACAACAACAACAATAATAATAATAATAAGCATACATACATATTATTACACCACTGACAATCTGCAATATCGATCTTGAGCAGTCTACAAACATAAATTAAACACACAACAAACCATTAAGAACAATAATATAAACTATGGTTTTTTTTTTGGTCTCTCTGATCTATTACATGTATCAACCAACGCTATAACATGTTCTGGAGTTGAGAGAGATCGAGACATTGCAGTAGTTATTATCATCTTGTTAGTCCTTCAAACTGAAGATCACACAATCATATATATATTATATGCTAGCCGATTGAAAACTAGGGGGTAGGTGAGGATCCAAATCATGGTAGAAAATCATCATCATCATCATCAACCCATCCTTCAGTACTGAAGGGGAAGTTCATGTGTTGGAAAGGATTCAGAGGCTGATTATTATTATTATTATTTTCAGAAGTTGAGGGCAGGGGGGTAATGTCGTGATGATTAGGTTGCTGGTTGTTTTGGGCAGCGAAGAACACATCCTCGTTCATCAAAGAATCGAAGAACGTCGAAAACACATCCTCGTCCGGGCAAAAATCCATCCCAACATTATCCTCATTATCGTCTCCGAGATCCATATTAAACTCCTCATCCCCATTTCCAGTAGGCTGATGATTCTCCGTCGTCCCTCCCACGCTGTTGGGCTGATCAATCTGATCATTCTGAAGATTTGTCGTCCCTCCAACAACGTTAACAGTAGTACTGCTATTCATCTTCACGTTCTTGTCTTGGTTGGAAAGACCAACGTGAATGGGCGTGGGTTTGATTATGGGAACTGAGGAAGAGGAGGGGGTATGGTTTTTGGGGTGGTTGGAGTTGGTAGGGTTTACGGGTAGAGGCTTGTGGTTTCTTGGATCAATTCCTTGGCTAATCAGCTTCTTGCTCAGGTGAGTGTTCCAATAGTTCTTTATCTCGTTATCTGTCCGGCCTGGAATCCTCCCTGCTATCAGTGACCACCTTCATATATACCATAGCAAATGAGAAAGCTAATTCGGGATAAAGAGAGTATATATCGTGGGTGCGGATATAACAAAACAAAATGAATCAAAGTTTCAAACCCTAAAACAAAGTGAGATAATAATAATCTTGTGACAAAATTAAAGGTGGAATGACCCATTCTGGTCTGACAGACTATGGTGACTCAACTGATCTTTGATTTTTATGAAAAGTTTTACTTTTGTGACAGGTTGAGATGTTTATGCGGGGTGGATTATAATAATCTAATGGGTGGGTGGGTATGTACCTGTTGCCTAGGAGGCCGTGGAGGCGGAGAATGAGATCCTCTTCGTCGGGGGTGATGTGGCCGCGTTTGACGGTGGGGCGGAGGTAGTTCATCCAGCGGAGGCGGCAGCTCTTGCCGCAGCGGAGGAGGCCGGCCATCTTGGGTAGGGTTCGCCACTGCCCCTCGCCTTCCTTGTTGATATAGTCCGTCAAGAGCTTGTCTTCCGCCGGCGTCCATGGCCCTCTCTTCAGCCCAACCTTGCTGCAGCACGGCGTCCGCTTCCCCTTCGCCTTCGACGGGGCTTCGCCGGCGGCGGCACCTTTTTCAGATGATTGAGTCCTCATTCTCTCTCTCTCTCTCGCTCTCTCTCTCTCTCTAGGTTTCTCTCTCTCTCTCTCGCTCCCTCGCTCTCTTATAAGGATTTGAGTGAGGTTGCTACATACTCACGTTTGTCTCGCTTCTAGGCTTTCATGGTTTCTCTGATATATGGTTGCCTTTCTACGTACTAGGTTACTTAAACATTTTGGTGAGCTATTATAATGGGGAATGATAAATAATCATTTTTTATCCCTCAATTCTGAATTTCTGATCTCCTCCTCTTATTTTTTCCCGTACCATGCACGCAAAAATCTATAAAGAATGAAATTAAATATAGCTTTTAGGGTTTTCAAAAAAATATAGCTTTTAGAAAAATCTATAATAGATTATATACAATTTTCATATAATTCAACATAAAATGGTATTAATATATAAATTATACTTTATTCACTCAAGTATATGATCATCATTTTTTATATCTCAATTATTTGTAAAGTAATTTTTTTTTGTCCCTAAATTTTTTAGAGAGCAGCTTATTAACCCAATTTTAATTAAATTCTGAAATAAAAAAGTAACTTTTTAAACAATTGATGAGGAACAAAAAGTACGTGATAAAATGATTAATTGAGGGACAAAAAGTGTTATTTTTTAAAAAATTGGGGATAAAAATTGCAAGTTTCCTTATAATCTCATTTATTAGGAAAATACAATGTATTACAGATAATTTGGGTGAGAAACATTTATTGCAACATTTATGTTATTTTATAGGGAAAATGGTTAAATAAGTCATCAAACTTTATCTAAAAAGTCAATTAAATCCTTTAACTTTTTAAAGTACCAATTAAACCCATCAAAATTATATTTTGATGCAATGAAACACAGGTCACTAGCAGGGTTCCGGTCAACATATTGGCCAACTCTGATAATATTTTCGGCAATGTTCACCGGAACTCATTGCACCAAAATACAACATTGATGGGTTTAATTGCTACTTTAAAAAGTTTAAGGGGCCTAATTGAATTTTTAGTTAAGTTCGGTGGCTTATTTGATCATTTTCCCTATTTTATATACAGAGAATGGTTCATGTGAGAACATGCTCTCATGTAAAACGTGATCATTGATTAAGGATAATTTTATTAAAAAAAAAAATCTCTTCAACATAATTAATTGTAGTTTGAATTTACGAAATTACAAAACCACTCAGATTGCAATATTATTGCAAAAATATTCAGATTGCAATAATATAAACATAACTGTATTAACATTAACGATATGTCAGAGTACACAACCTAACCAATAAATGTGTTATGATGTACATAACGATTTAACGCATGCTTTTCCACCAAAAATGTAAAAGAACGCCTTTTTTGGATGAAATATTTACAGAATCATATACGCAAATATGTTTTTAAGTGGAGTATAATTACTAAACTTGGAAAAATAAATGACTATTACGACAGTTTTTTTTTTTTTGTTTGTTTGAAGACATTACGATAGTTTTAGAGTTCTACTACATAGACTCCCATATCATACTCTCTAGATTTTATTCCTTGATTTGGTGGGTATTGATATTTTGTGTGGGGTAAAAGTTAGGAGTAAAAAATGGGAGTACATGTAGTATTTTTTTGACATAAAATCAAACATAGCGTGAATGATTGTATCTAATACAGAATACGTCTATGTACTGATCATCACTTTTAAAAAATCATAAATTTATATCTAAAACTTTTTGTATCTTGCAAATTAATAGAGGATTTGCCAGCTAATTAAGCAGATATGTAATGAAAAAGAATTTATTGGGATGCACATATTAAATGACTTGATCTAAGTTGGTTTAGAAGTTGTGAAAATATGATATTAATCAAGATCTCATCTTTAAATTAAAGTCAATTTAAAGTAATTTTTCATTTTGAGATGAGAGAGAGAGAGAGAGAGAATTGCATTTTGAGGTGATTGCAATTGACTAAAGGTTAGCAATGGGCATTAAAGACATTCCAAATCAGTCAGAATTCACTTTCAAAGGAGTGAAAGGCAAATAGGGCATACATGGTGGCTCAGCTGGATACCTATCTAGCTACTTAATTGCCTTTCTAATTTCTTCTTTATTTCCTTAATGAAGGAGTTAGCTAGATTAATTGATGGCCACATTTCACTTAATTATCACGGCTAAGTTGAGTGCTAGGCATAAATGGAGGAGTGAGAATCAAAACCCAGTATTTTTTTTCCAATATAATTGAGATAATGATATACAATTTATATAGTTAAAAATTAATTTTGTATCCATACAATTTATATGTGTTCAAGGGAAAATAAGACTATGAAATAAACAATTTTTTTTTTTTTTTTGAAAATGTTATGGGGTGAATCCAATAAACAAAGGGAAACCAATTTATTAATATTTTGGATGAGCTATCTATTTTGCATAAAGAGATTCACCAAAGAGAGCTCAACTTTAAAATCTTCCACGCTTTACCAAATGAATGGCACGTCAAGAAAGTGCAGGCATGTTAGAGCTAGGCATGCAACAAGGAATTTGCATATACTACAACGAACGGGATCCTTGTTCTTGGATCTACAGAGCCATGAATTTGATTTATTTTCTACGACTAGACAAAAAAGATGCTACAAGTGAAAAGCCTACAATTGCACTGGTCGAAAACAAAATGGCTCTGATACCAAATTGAAGCATGTGCTCCATCTCAACTAAAAGTCTAAGCTGATAGTTAGATTGCACATTTATGTTTATATATATTATATGCTCAACATAATTAGCCGGATAGAAACACGATAAGATATCATTCATCCTTCCTACACAAAGGTAAGAAAACATAAGCATATGGATGATACTTCCGAACGTGTGTGCTATAACTACGATAAATTAGGGCATTTCAAGGCATACTATTCTTAACTGGTTGAAGAATAAAAACATGAGAAGAATGATGAAGGAAAGAGATTAGAAAGATTTGATTGAAAAAATGTTGTAGCTCATGATATAAGAACTATCATAAAAGCTCACAAAACAATATATTGACTCATCCAACTTACGCTCTTCATTAGATTTATAAAAAATGAAGCCCTCATTTACCTACTTGCCAAAACTAAGAATGACTCTTCAAGCTCATCGGCAAATTCAAAGACAACCAACTCTATTGGACATAGGAAATTAACTGCAAATGTATTATTGCAAATGAGCATGAAGAAGATGTAGCGTTTACTTCTTCCATCCAGTTACAATTTAGCATATGCTTCTTATAGATCGAAATTATCTAGATACATTATATTCTTAGCAATGTTGAGCAAATTAGATTAAGGAATAAAGTTCAAATTGGCCACTGAACGTAACCTAAAAGTGCAATTAGGCCACTGAATGAAAACAAAGTGCAATTAATCCATTGAACACTTTAAATGTATGCAATTTCACCTGATAGCAGGTTACCATCAATTTTAACAGGTTGCGCTTACGTGGAAGGTGAGTTGACATTTTAAATCATTTTTAATAATAAACTTTAAAATAAAATTAAAATTAAAATTTAAAAATATAAGCAGGCAACTTGTTGGAATTGATGGTAACCTGCTGGCTGCTAGCAGGTGAAATTTTATATTTTTGGAGTGTTCAATAGCCTAATTGCACTTTTTGTTTTCGTTCAGTGGCCTAATTGCACTTTTTTTTTTTTTTTTTCCGTTCAGTGACCTAATTGCACTTTCACGTTACGTTCAATGGCCAATTTGGACCTTATTCCTTAGATTAATAATCCAAAGGAGCACAAATCTCTCAAAGTCAGGAATTATACCAACTTCTCTCATATAACTAAGGAACTTAAAAAGCTCAATACTCTTACTAAAAAATTGAACAATCTCAAGGCTTAAATAAGAGTGCAAAATAAGAGAGTATATAGCCTATTTGGTTCGTTGAAAAGAATTGATAAGGAATTGAATTTAAATTCTATGAAAAAGAAATTATTTGGAAATGGTTGTTGAGAAATAATTTATTGGGATTAATTAGTATAAAGATTCAAATGTCCTTACATAATAAAGTATGTGAGGTGATAATAAGCATTTAAGAATTCATGTTTAATTATCCCCCAAAAGGTGTGGAAAATAAAATACCAAAGGAGAGCATGCAATTCATTTTCCTCAAATTTGAAGAATTTATTTTTCATTGGAATAAATTCCACTAATTTTCCTTTAAAAAAAAAAATACTCTAATTTGAAGAAAAAAATTATCCCAAAAATATTTTCCCATAAACAAAACATGTCATCAGAGAAGAAAAGTTTTGAGAACTTATTGGCACATATGTCATCAGCTCCAAATCAATAGAGACATTACTTCTAATAATAACAACAACAACAACAACAACAACAACAACAATAACAACAAAAATAATAATAATAATAATAATGATAATAATGATAATAATAATAATAATAATAATAATAATAATAAACATTATTGGGGATAGAACTAGTTTTGGGTTTTCATCATTCATCTTCTAAGGCACCACAAAACATAAGATCGGTATTTGTAAGGGAATCGAATCCTCAACCGCTAGATGTTGTCAGTTGTGGAGTATACATATGTGTTAGGAACAAGTGTAATTAGATTTTGATGATACCAAACTGTCTAGGATTGTAGACCCCTATTTTTCCTTACACAGCTAAGTCTCGTGTAACAAACAAAAGTTACTGCAACTCAACGTCTGATTCACACCATGAGGTGTACGAATCTTACTCGAGACTAGCATAACAGGTCTACATGAAAATTTGATGTCGACAAGATGATCAAAAGATACTTCCAGGCTAAAGATGGATTGAGCAAATATCGGATAGACTTCTTTTGACAAAAAGGACCTCTTGTCAAAGAGAAAGGATGAAAGATAAAGTCAATCTTTCGACCAACGCCTCTGAGTGAAGAAGTCAAAGACAGGCTTGTAAAAGACAACATTCATTTAAGTGAAGCAATGAGATCAGAATGTTGTCTATGACTTAGATGGGCAAATCATTCGGATAAAAAGTGTCCTAGGAATGATCTTCACAAAAGACAAGGAGTATTAAAAGACTTGTACCATCTTGTCAGAGAACAAGGACAAAAGCCATAATGCTTTTGGCTCCAACGGCTATACAGTACAAGTGCATTAAATGCTCAATGCCCACTGGTTAATACTCACTGGTTATTAGGT